TTGTGAGACAGGGCCTTCTATGTAGTCCAAGCTAGGATAGAAACATATACTACCATATATGATCAGTATACCCAATACACCACCATGGCCAGCCCACCTATATGATTTTATAACCCGATTCTCACTAATTCAGATCAACAGGATCCTAGTACTGGGATAGTATTAATTTATTTTGAGAGGAAAAGATAAGATCATCTGTGACCCTTAAGTGCTGCTAGGTTCTATGCTTACTGAGATTTGTCTGCCTCTTTACTATTATAGTCTCACGACCCAACACAGTAGCTGATACACACAGGTACACAATAATACACAGGATGCATCCTAGAATAGCCTATCTGCATGCAGTGGCTTCAAACAGAGGATCTAGGGACTCCAAGACATCAACAGAGATCGAGAGGGTGACAGCTATAGCACTCTTTGTCATAAATCCAAAGGACTCGCATCCTACTCTACAGGTAACTTATACATACACCTTGGTGGTGACCAAATGCTCTCCAATTGTACCTAACACCTGCTCTACAAGAGAGCTACAATATCTGGCACTAGAAATCCAATCACTCAGTGCTAATGACATCATAGTGATTACATGAGCATTTACAACCACTAGTTACCAAACCAGTATGATCCCTAAGAGCAATATATAAACATTTGTCCTTATAGCTATCAGTAAGTGTAGCCATCATCCCCATCAAGGACATTTCTCTTTGCAGGACAAAGAGACTGCTACAGAAAATTACAACCAATCAAAATGCAGAGATGTGAAGCCCATTTCATTATGGAAGAGGGGGCAAAGGGATTCTAAGAGCCAGATGGTTAGGGACTTTACTATGAAGTTGTGTCTCCTTGTAATATCTGAAGCTACATCTGTAAAGTCTCATCAACATGGCTGCCCATACATGACCTTAACAAGGAGGACAATAATAAACATACCAAACCAGATAGGGGAAAATCCATAATACCTCCAACCCTGCACTATAAATTACAGGCAACTGAGCAAATCTGGGACTGGGAGAAGTGAGTCACCTGAGGGAAGAGCACACCAATTATTCCAGTGCTAAATGGTCAGCCCTGAAAACAAACATACAAGAAACATTATGTGGACTTAACAGGTTATATTTAGGAATGTATGTGTATAGACCAATACATATATGCATGCAGTAACAATTTATACAAAAACTGGTCATGAATCTGAAGAAAAGTGGGGAAGGCCATATGGGAGGATTTGAGGGAGGAAAGGGAGAAAGGCTGGAATTAAATTACAGTCTCAAAAATAAAGAAAAATAAACTGAGTTGAGGAAATATCTACAAATAAAGGAAATAGACAATAATTTATAGTTACTGAAGATGAATGACTTTCAAATGAGTAACATTGGCAATTGCTAATAATCTACTGTTGCAAGGTTTTAGATTCCTCTGTTCCCTGGTAATTCCAACGTGTCACAAGCATGTTCAATTGTGTCTTACACTCAAGAAGCATGTTTCTTTCCCTGGACAATTTGTTCTGTATAAAGCACTACCCCTATTCTAATTTTTGAGTTACACAATTTCACAAATTTAAATCCTTAGAACAGAGAGGGAAAGCCATGGAGAAACATCTAGTCTTCCAGGATAGAGACCAGTGATGCAATGTCAATCCCAGACTGAAATTACAGAACAGCATCCCATATTGTAGAATTTCAGTTGCCTAGAAACAACCTGTTACAGAATAATCAGCATTGGTTTTGTTTTGTTTTGTTTTTTTCCAGACCTAAGACAGTAGCCAGTGGGGGTTAAAATGCTCCCCCTTGTGCATTATTGAAATTTTTCATCTCAATATTTCTTTTAAACACATGACTTGAAAATATATGCATATACACTGTGGTAGAGCAAATAGTATTACTAGGCTCTGCCCAGCCACACAGGCATTTCCTACTCTAAGGAGAATAAAGCAGAATGACATTTTCATTTTTATGAAGCCATACATAAGGTTAGTAGACTAATAAAAATAGGAATATAATGGCTGTTGTATGTGCCAATAATTTCAGGCAGTTTAGCTGATTACATAAAGAAACTGATTTGAGGCTATAACATTTTTACAAGATTACACTGAAAAAAAAATACATGGATAATAGTTATAATGAGAGCCCATGGGAATGAAGTCAACAAATGAAGTGATAATGGTTATAATGAGAGCCCATGGGAATGAAGTCAACAAATGAAGTGCAAAGGGTCTCCTAAAAACATAAGTAAATGAAGCTAACAGTGATTTGTAGCAGCACCACATCTCTTCTAGAGAAGAAACCTTAGTCCTTGGCTGTTGCAGCTCCTCTCTTTCAGCTCCTTGTCTTCTGAAAGCATTGGGCTGAATATTCAATTCTCTCTCTCTCTCTCTCTCTCTCTCTCTCTCTCTCTCTCTCTCTCTCTCTCTCTCTCTCTGGTGCTCTCTTTCCTGAATTACTCTCCCACGTTAATGTCCCCGTGAATTACACCAAGTCTTCCAGGATAATGAGGGCAAATTCCTTGTCAAGTCACCAGATTGACGATCTCTATTTTACCTGTAGCCTGCATCTCCCTTGGCCATATTTAAAGGAAATCTGAAAACTAGGCACTTTTTCCAAGCTTCATCTTTCCAAATGCTTTGTTCTCTGACACTTTGTAAAATCTAAGTTTACCAAGTACCTCACCAAAAGGAAAATGAGTGGCTTACAGTGAACAACAACAACAAAAAAAAAAATGTGAGTTTCATTTTCGTCACAGAAAACATAGGCACCTGTGAACCATTTATACAGGGAGCTTCTGCAGAGGGTCTAGTGTGGATTCCTTGAGCTTTACAGCTTACTGCCTTGGTTACTCCCAGTGTGCTATACAGACACAATGATGGCAGTCTGCACATATTCGCATATGTGACAGGACCAACGCAAGACTGGGAAGCATGGCCTAAATCGCCAGCATATGTATTCTTAGAAATTAGGAGATGTTTGGAGTGGAAATTCTGAGGTTTCAGTACATAGGAGCTGGTACCAAATATTCACTCCCAGACACAGTAGGACAACTGGCACAAGATTATTGTCTTGCCATAACAATCAGAAAAAAAAACTATATGAAGTTACTGCTTTTAGCCACTGAATAGACAGCACAGGGTTCTGGCTGACAAAACGGGCACTGAAAGGATAGCCCTGCCATTAACAAAATTAACTATCTGAACATAGTCTCTGGATAACAAAGGGAATTAGAAAATCTCCCTTTAGTTAGCTAATGTCTTACTCAACAGAAGAGACCAGAAGGAAAAAAAAATTCTTCTGGGAAGCTTAGCTAGAATTTCCAAGGCATGGCCTGAGGATGGTCCTTAATGGTCGAAGACTCTCATAGACTGTATAAAGCTCTGACTGCCATTCGTAGCACTACAAGAAAACAAAAAGAAATGTACACCACAGAATACAAAAGAAAGATCTATGTAGAGAAAGCAGTGGCCAAAATACCTATCTAAGGATCCCCTTGACTCTGTGGCTTAATGCTAAGTCTGGTATAAATAATAAAGCCAGGGTAAAATTCCACAGGCTAGACAAAAACTAACAGAGAGTGTTATGCTGAAAAACTGCCAAGAATTCACAGAGCTAGTAGGCATTTGTGGTTTTTTTATGTGTATATGTATAATATGCATGTACATAATTTGTATGTTTGTGTGTATGCATGTATATGTGTGTGTGAGTGTAGGACTGTGCATGTCATGGCTGGAAAGTGAAGGTCAGGGCACATTCTCTGATGTGGTTCCTCACCATCTAAACTTTTGGAGACATTGCCTTCTTCACTGAGTCATGGCCAGGCCAGCTGGCCCACAAGCTTCCAGGAATTCTCCTGTCTCCACTATACATTCAGCCACAGGTACACTGTGATTATAGATGTTCCCTGTCTTATCTGGCTTTTACACAAGTTCTGGGAACACAGACTCACGTCCTCAGGCTTGCATGACAACTGATATACTCACTAAGCCCTGTCTCCAGCCCCAGATTTATGCTCTAGTCATTAAGAATGAAGACACAAGAGAAGTCAAGACTTACGAGCAGGTCTAAACAAGCCAGTAGAGAATACTTTCTCTGATCTAACAAACTTACAAAAAATCTTGAATTGATAATAACCTACAAAAACAAAAAACAAAACAAACAAAAACCCAAAATACACATGATGAAAAAAAAAGGACCTACCTCAATAATCTTTTACTCAAAGAAAATAAGACACTCAGTAAGTACTGACAGTCGGCATCCAATAAAGAAGACAACACACACACACACACACACACACACACACACACACACACACACACACACACACACACACACATACACTTTTAAGAGGAAAATATAACCCATATCCAGAATAAATATCACTCAGTAGAGGAAAAAGTAAAGGCATGCCAAAACAGAACTCTGGGAAATGCCTTTAAAACTTTAAAAGGTAGGAGGGGAAAGTGGATCCAGGAAGTCTGACAAAACAGCAGCACTAAATGTTAAAAGAATGAGTGGAGTATTGTATCATGGGAGTCAAGTAAGGAGGCAGTTCCCAGGGAGGAGACAGTGTTCAACCAGGAGAGCAAGTAAGACAGACTGGAGTGCTCCTTGCATTTGGCAAGCACACACATGATCATCATGGCCAGAGAAGCTCCAGCAAAGAGGTGGGTGGTAGAACTGGATTTCCTAGGACCTGACGAGTAAATGGGATGAGAGGTGACACACATTTATTCAATGCACAGCGGTCTCTGACTCAATGTGTACACAATATTTGTCAGTTTCACCTCTGAAAACATTTCTGTAATGTTCTACAGGCCAGGTATGGTGACACTTGAGAGGTTAAGGCAGGGGGCTGTTTTGAGTCTAAGAGTTTGAGACTAGCCTGAGCAAGAAAAATAAGACTACGACTCAAATTTAAAATGTTCTTCAACCTTCGTGAGAAATGTGTTCTTTCTCTTTCAGTCACATTTGTTTCTATATAAACCACTTCCAATTAAAAATATGGAAAATTGTTACCAAAAAAGGCATTAAGCAGCTTCTGAACCTGGATGTTGCTGCCCACTGTGCGGTACAACCCTTCTGTCTTGATCCCTAGGAAAAGAAAAGCAGATCATCTTCGTTAGGATAGCTCCAGTTTTTATGTTCCCCAACACAGAGAAAGGAAGCCCTTGTACATCGGTGTCAGTTACAGACAGTAAAAAGATCTCCTTCTCTCTTCTAGTTCTCCAGCTTCATTAGATTTCATCTATCCCCTATTAATCTGAAGGGAAGAGAACACACTCTATAATAAAAAGAAGAAACAAAGAAAGGCACATGTTTCAGTAAGTTACAATAGGTAGATGAAAACAGTCAGCCATGTTGGAAGGAAACTAGCAATTAAAAGACAAGGAGGTACTTCTCTCCTGTCTCTAGGTTATGGGAATATTCCTCCATGGGGGAAGTCCTAGTCCCTAGTCCAAATGACTTGACAGATTTAGATGACTCCTCCTGGAGGACATCACCCTACATGTGGAGTGGGGGGATGGGAGGAGTGGGTGGTGGTGGGGGGTATGAGAGGGTGGGAGAGAGGGAAAGAGGAAGGGACAGAGGAAGGGAGGAAGGGAGGGAGAAAGGGAGAGAGGGGGAACCGGGATCGATACGTTAAAAAAAATAAATTATCAAAAATAATAAAAATAAAACATCCAAAATGAAAAAAAAAGACAAGGAGGTAATATCAATGCCCCTCCCAGTTGCTCTCAAACTGTGATATATAGGAGGAGAGGTTTGGGATATGGAAGATGTGAAGTAAAATTTCATTTTTTGGTTCATACACTCCAGCCACCTGCATTCTAAATATCCTCAGAAGGAAGCAGAGACCTTTGGTTCATGAGGAAACATGCTCAGTTTAGATTTGGTCCCATCAATTTTTAAATTGATAATAAAATAATAATGTGGTAGAAGCTGAGCTCTTGGACAACAGAGATGGAGCTATCACTGAACTGCTTAAGGAACGCTGTGCTACTTCAGAATGCATCCCAAATCATTGCAAGGCTTTCCTCCCTAAAAGTGGGAACACAAACTGTGCATATATGCTTGAATGAGGAATGCTATGATGGTAGCCAGTTTAGAAGTGGCTTAAATGTAAACAAATGTGTCCACTACACAAGCTGTGGGAATACAGTCCAGAAATGTAGCTGTGCTAGAGGAATTCTGAGTGCTTGTGAGAACATGCCAAGAAAACAGGAGTCTTGTGACCTCAGTATCTTAAAAAATACAGAATTGTCCTTGGATTATGTTTTTATGTCCCTCCCCTGTGTAGTGGATAGGAGTGTGTCTACTTGAGATTATTCATTACAGCTGGCTATTATCATTTATTTATATGCCTCTTTGGAAAAACATGGTTTAGCCACGTGTGGTTTTTCCTTGTGACTGTATACTTTACTGATGTGACTTTTCTGAACCTTTAGAGTGTAAATTGTCTGAAGCTCTGGATAAAGTTGGCTACTGCATGAGACTTTAGCCTGCCTCATATTTAGGCTCCATTCTTCCAGGTCCAACTGCCAATTAGATCGGTAAACACAAGATTTATAAAAAGTTGTCATCCTAAAGACAGGAACTTACTAACAGAAAATGTCATGCTTACTTTAGGGAAGGTTTCTTACGATAAAAGCAGAGTGGCCAAATTTAACCATTTCAAGGTGATGGTTTAGATCTTACCTTTGGTCTCAATAAAATTGATGCACTTCCTAACGAACTTGAACCCCACTTCATTCAGCTCCACTGTATAGAGGAAAGGAGAGTTAGTTCATAGCATAACAAGTAGTTCCTATCCAACATTCAAGAGCCACAGAAAGGGACTGTGTTGAAAGTACTGGTAGGGCTGGTGCTCATCTCCCTCAACTTAGATTGAATGATGCCATGCTCAGGGTAGGTTTAGACTTTTATGAAACAAAATGTTTCTATTCAGCCCTTCATATCACATCTACCCTAAACATGAGCACTATCAAATATGAAATGCTACTTTGGAAATGCACATAATTTTGATCGTCTGTCTAGAACAAGGTGGGGAATAATATATATCCTCTGCATCCTCAGTACCATTCACACCATAAGTTTCAATGGAGTGAGTATCCTAGTTCAACCAATATGCAATTTCAAATCAGGGCTAGGTTTCGTTTTGCACAGATTTGCATGAAAGGTACATGTCACCAATATTAGCATTTACGTCACTGGGATAGCTTTGCACTTATAATGTCAGGGGAGTATAAAATGGAATTACTTACTTTCTTCCTGTTTTGTTATGGGGCTGTGGTAGATCTACAACAGAAGAGAAACCCAAAGAGGCTTAGTTATCATAACTCACTACAGATAAGCAGGGCAAACAGGAATAAATTTCTTTCCCTAGATAGACTATCAAAGTGATGATAGAGCTGTAACAACAAAGAAAAGGAGGTTAAACAGACTAATCTTTGCCCAGATCCCTGGAAAACACAGTCTCTGAAAACTGTACTAGATGTTCACATAGCTCACATAGTTGAAGCTGCAGCTGACTTACCTCAGACATTCCCTTAGGTAAAGCTTGGAGCATTTCAGTGGTAGAAAAGACATAATAAAAGGAAGTGGTTTTCTCAAGGACACCCAACAGTAAAATAGCTAATGGATGCCTCTCTTTGGGAAGGCACAAATTCTGCTGAAGGAGATTGATGAATATTGTAGAGTCATCTTGAAGCGTGTACCCCAATAACTATGTACAAGGCCAGAATGAAGATTTGGGCTTCTTTGAGACTGGTCTTGGTTGTGCCCATATGTCATTAGGAGACTGGATGTCCTTTCCATTCCCATCAATACAACAATCAGGATTTGAACAGATGTTTCCTCAAGCCCTGATCCTCTTGGACAGTTGAAGCAAAGCCATATACCTGACATGTATGAACAGTGAATTTGGTGTTTAATGAAGCAGCAACACTAACAAGGTGAGGCTGAGGGAATTAAGCCCTGCCTCTCCTTTTCAAGGGAAACATACTGTATATGTCAGCATTCTCATGAATATTTCAGTAAGAGGCATTTCTGCATTGTGCAGCATTTGTTGTGACTTTTATAAACAAGATTTTAGGGAAGTCAGCAGCAATCAAGCTCGTGAGGCTGCATATTTAGGAGATCTGTGCTTTAGAATCATTCTCCACAACAAATATTTTCTGATCTTCAAAATCCTAAAGGGAAACCCAGTGCAGGAAAGGGAGTGGACATATAAAGGCCTTGCTCTTAGCATCCCCCTAGTAAAACACCACAGGCATGGGAGGGCCAAGCTTCAGGTTTCCAGGAAGTGGCCCTCACTCTACCTCCACCTGCCACAGATGCAATCTCAGAGACAGCTACTACACTATTAATTTCTTTCCACTTATATTCTTATTTGTGTTGGGGGAGGAGTGTGCATGTCACAGCACACACGATGGTCAGAGGACAACTTATGGGAGTCAGTTCTCTCCTTCCACCACATAGGGACTAGATAAATGAGCTCAGGAGGTCCCAGGCTTGGTTGCAGGCACCTTTACCCACTAAGCCATCACACTGGCTCTTTCCTCCACAGAGAACAGAAGACATAAATAAAGAATACATTTCCCTCAACAGGCTAGCTTATCACTTGACGAGAGCGAGGAGCTAATACTATAATAGTCCAAACAGGGAGGAGGATCCAGAACTAATGCAGCATTCTTCTGTTTGTAGGATGGTTTTCACTTGACTATTCAAAGTAATCCTTGGAGATACATAGAATAGAAATCATTTTAAAAAAACATTACATTAAGAAGAAGAAAGTTGAGGGATAGAGAATAAAATAACTTGATAAAGTCATCACCATGTAACAACAAAACCAGGACCAGGCATTTGTAGTTCAAACACCACAAAGCTCATGCTTTGTCATTTGCCACTAAAAGAAACTACCAGAAAGATGGTAAAGAGACAGTGCTTTTCCAATGACTTCTGATTTTATTGTTCTAGATCTAGATCTGTAACTGACTCTTCTAGGGAACTTTTCTCTCTACCTGTCTAACACTGAATTCTGCAAGAAAACAAACTGAGTTTGTAGTGAAAGAGAAGTTAGAAAAGTCATTTTAAATAAATGCTAAATGGAGGCTTACTTAAATCCATGACAATTATTTTTCACCCTTCTGTATGGGTAAATCAATTATATAATAGGAAGAGGGATTACTTTTCATTCTTAGGAACTTGTAGGAATAGATACAAAGTCTAATACTGCAGCATGAAGTCTTGGTGCCTTCTCTGGAGGCAATCATAGACAAGTCCTAGGGAAGTCCCTCATCTCTAGAACTCAAGTTGGATTAAACAAGACATCAGGAGTGACAATTCCTTCTAGTTCTAAGATTTAGAATCTGAGTAACCTATGACCATTTCCCCACTGAAACCACTAGAGGGCACTCATACACCGCCCTATGCTGTTGCTGTGCTTGTGCACTATGCTGTTGCTGTGCTTGTGCACGCTCTCTCTCTCTCTCTCTCTCATACACACACACACACACACACACACACACACACACACACACACACACAGTGATGGGAGGGAGGACACGAGACAGAGAGATTACTTACAGGTTCTTTCCCATCCATAGCTTCCATCCATAGCCTTCTATTGGCTTCTGAAGGTGCCTGCAGAGTGATGGTTCCTGGTCTGGGATGGAAAGAAAGATAAATTTAAATCAGAAAATTCACCTGAGAGAATGGTATCTTGTGCTTCTTTCATCATTTTTATATAATTTGAATTAGTGGGTATTCATTGTACAAAATGATAGATTTTATTAGAACATTTTCATACATGTATGCAATGTACTTCACAAACCAACCAAAAACCAAACAAGAATTTTTTTTTTTTTTTGTTTTTTGAAAACAGGGTTTCTCTTTCTCTGTATTGTTTTGGAGGCTGTCCTGGCACTCACTCTGTAGACCATGCTGGCCTCAAACTCACAGAGATCTGACTGCCTCTGCCTCCCAAGTTCTTGGATTAAAGGCGTGTGCCACCAACGCTCAGCTCACAAACCAGATTCTTAACAACACACTATAAGGCCTCTTGTCTGAGGCAGATTTTTCCAAACTTTGTTTTAATCTATTCACTTGTTGGCCACCTACTATGGTTTGAAAATATAAATACAAATTCACACACACCCTCCAAAATGTTCTGTATTAAATGTAATCACCAATGAAACAATAATAATTTGAGTTTTATAGTTTTATAGAAAGTTTTAAGATGTGGGCCCATCCCCTCCTATCCCTTCCTTCATGTGAGAATAAGAAATGTGTTCTTTCTGGGGGATGAAGAAGTAAGGAACTATCTTGGAAACAAAGATTCCCAGGCTTCAAACCTGCTAGCCCCATAATCTTGAACTTCCAACATTATAGCTCTAAGAAATACATTTCCGATGCTTATGCATAATCCATTTTCAGGCATTAAAGCAATGAACTGGGTGAAAACAATGTTTTTATCCAGATGCTGCCCTAGGCATAGGCTCGCTTTTGATAGCAGAGAGGATGGAAGTATAAATGTGCAACTCTTAGGGAAGCATTTGGGGATTTTTATTTTTGTTTTGTTTTGGTTTTTTTTTTTTTTTTTTTTTTTGAGAGGGTTTCTCTGTGTCCTGGCTGTCCTGGAACTTGCTTTATAGACCAAGCTAGCCTCGAACTCACTGAGATGCACCTACCTGCATTTGGAGATTTTTTTAGTGCCACAAATAGTCAAATTAGAAGAATATTATTAATGACAAAAAAGGAGAGTGGGAAAAGGACTAAGTTCCAGTCCATTCTCCTTTGTGTAGGATTCATTATGACCTTAGACAAATTGTTTACTCTCCTGGAAGTTCCACCTGCCCATCTGGGACCATTGGGAAATGTATGGCACATATGCAGTAGAGTATAATGGTTAAGGAAGTAGCCTTCTTGGAGATTCAAACACCTGGACTTGGCCCTGCCTCTACCATTTAGTAAATGCATTATTCAAGCTGGTCAACTTTTCTTTACCTCTTTCTCTTCCTTTGCAAACTTGAAGAATTGAAACTTCTACTCTATATGATGAAGACTAAAGAAAATTACATTTAAGGATCTAACAGGCAGGATGTACTTGTCAAGCAACATCACTTGCTGACATTATTGTTACACCCCCTGTGTGATATGAACGTACAATTTAAAGTATTAGTACAAACACTGTTTTTTGTTATGCTATTTGATCTTCCTGAACTAGAAAAAAAGGATTAAGAGACCTTTGCTTGGCACTCTAGCAAGCATGAGTCAATGTGTGTGATACCCACTGGGCTCTTTCTGAGATCAGATGGACAAGTGAGGGAAGTCGCTGCCACAGACCTGACAAAGTGCCTCTTTCAGAGTGGTGTGTCAGCATCTTTTCATTATGATATTGACTATTCTAATCAATAATGGCATAAGATGACAAAGAAAATGGCTGTGGAGACCCACAGACCAAGATCCTGCCTTCCTACAGTGTCAGGTAATATAATTGAGTCTTGGTGTCTTCAGTTATAAAATGGGGTGAGAGGATTCAATAAGACAGTGGTTTTTAAACTGCAAATAATATGCTAACTAAAGTCGCAGATGCATCATATCTTTTAGTTCCTGAATTCTACTATAAAAGTTCCTCAAATTTCTGGGAAAGAAAAAAAAAATACAACATACCTAAGATTTAACAAATGTACTACCTACAACGAGACAAGCATAGCGTGTTGTACAAGGAAGATAAAAGTAAAGTGTCCCAGTCTCTCACTCAGGGCCAAACTGTTTGCAATCTCTTGAAATGGGGATATTATTATAGGTAGCTGGCAAAGCTAAAAACATTGAATCACACATGGAAAATGTAATCACTTTTAAGCACCTTGATGTTGAAACACCAGAGATGCTACAGGATCACACAGGGAAGTCAGAGTCCACTGAAGGCAGAGTTTAAAGGAGTCTACCAGACCCAAGAAAATGATAAATAGGTGTTTATTAGGGAAGCACTTAACACAGATAGAGTAAATAACTGCCACAGTCTTCCTGCTCCAAAAGATGCAGTAACTGCCCTTCTGATGCTCTCCACAACCGAAGAGAGCATGAGCCAGCCCCTCTTCTACCTTATAATATGTCATGTTCCCACCTGGAACCATGCCCAAAGGGTGTAGCCACCACTACAAGTTCACTGGCAAGGCAAGATGCCACTACAGCCCACTGCTGTTTTCTTATCCTACAGGGGCTGATTACCAGGAAGAGGAGTGCCAGCCAGGACCTGATGATACCAGGAAGATGAGCACCAGGCAAACGGTTACTGGTAGCAATCTTTATTTACTATCACAGTCCTTTTGACTGGGATCATCTATGTTTTAGCAAAGAAGTCATAAAGAACCACAAACCAAAAGGATGAGGGTCCAAAAACTCTCAAGTTTTAAATGGGCAACAGACTAATAGGAAAATGTCCTAATCTTTCAGTGTAACTGATCTTGTTGTTCTCAGCCCCTAATGATTTTTCGAAGATACTATGATTCATTAAGGTCTTTTGTGAGCATTTTCCTAAATTCTTCTCTATTTCCCAGTGCCTGGTATACAGAAACAAATGGATAAATTAAATCACATAGCTTATTCGCTGACTTGTGGACCAACTTCTTAACCATATTTATGCCTATCACCAAAATAATGCCAAATGCTTTCATTTCAATGATAAAGGTATCTTTTGCTTATGTATTATGGTTTCCAATTTTGTGTTTTTAGACGATTTCTGGCTTTGCCAATGGCAGTTTCTGAGTCTATGCTTTTCTTATGCTTTTCCTCAGTTCTTTGTTTTTCTATTCATTTGTTTTGTCCTAATCAAGTCTTGTTTTATATTATCTATTTTTTCTTTTTTAGATACTTGTTTGTTTTCTAATGAGAGAGCAAAAAGGGATGTAGACTTGGATGTGTGGGGAGATGGGAAGGATCTGGGATGAGCTGGGGGAGTGGGACACATAACCAGAATATATTATATGAAAAAAATCTATTTTCAATTTTTTAAAAAGTATAAGGTGTAATTATCCTTCATTAAATCGCTTGGGTTCAGGGGAGAGAAAAAGAAGGCATTGTAGAGAAACAATATAAGCATGCACTAAAGCCAGGAGTGGTGGTGAACATCTTTAGCCCTACTGAGGCAGAGGCAGGCGGATCCTCTAAGTTTGAGGTCAGCCTCTTCTACAGAGTGAGACCCTATCTCAAAAAGATGAATAAATAGATAAATAGAAATCTTTGCCAGTCAGCGGTGCACAGCTTTCATCCCAACACTTGGAAGGCAGAGGTGGGCAGATCTCTGTGAGTTTGAGGTCAGCCTGGTCAACAGAGGAAGTTCCAGCAGCACTGTTACATAAAGAAACTTTGTCTTGGAAAATCAAAAAAAAAAAAAAAAAAAAAAAAAAAACTAAACTAAAAAACAAAAACCAAAAAAAAAAAAAAAAATCATGCCCCAAATGTGCTAGCATTGGTTCAATAAACTAGTCTAGTTCACATACATATCTTCAAAGTAAGAAAAGCTTGAAACAGTATACAGTAAGTATTAAAAACCCAAGACCACCTCTACCCTTTGCCCTGTCTTTCTTTAAAACTTCTGTCAATCTACTTCATATGTTAGACCAAGAGTGTCTTAAAAGAACAAGCATGGGTACTCTGTCAGCATCGCAGCATTAAGAAAAAACAAATTTTTACATATATGACAACAAATTAAATTCTAGGGGAGACTTTTTCTACCCAGAGCCAGTGAAGTAAATGTGGCTGAGGGTTGTACAGAAAACCTAAACAAAAACAAACAAACAAACCAGACCTGGACAGGGTCTCATGGGGACCCTAATGAAGGGCAGACTGAGGGGCACTGACACAGACCTATGTATAAACTGCTCATTTTCAACAACATGAAGTAAGAGAGGAAAATACAAGACCCAGACAAACTCATGGGTAGTGAACATTGACACCATAAATTCACAGCATCACAACTTACCTTTCATTCGTTTCTATATCAAAACAGAATCTCTTGTCAATTGACTCTGTCTTTCTTCTCACGCAGTATTTCAAAGTTAGATCCACGGGTCCCTGATTTGAGAGAGCATTAACAAGCACTTATTTAAAATGCATAGACATTTCTTCTGTCTCCTGTGTTGTCCTCAGTCTCACTTGGATGGTGTTGACCAAGACTACAGAAGCAATGTGCTGACTGAGAACCTTGCAATATCATAGTAGCTGCCTTCTCACTGTTCTAAGCCTGAGAAAAACCAGGGGAAAACACACAGGGTAGACAAGTGTTCTTTCCCAAGAATGGCATATTCAATAGGAAGCCCAGAACACATCACCTAAGGGCAGTGCTGGAGAAATGGATGGCCCAAATGGCATTAAGTATACATAATAGGCTTCTGAGAAGGAAGCTGCAAGTGCATAAGTAGCTATCTAAAATCATCCCTGGAATGTGTGAGAAACGTTGAGTGTAGAGGCCTCCTACTGGATGTGGCAGTACCCAGCTTCAGGGTGACAAAATCATAAAAAAGTCTCCCCAGAGGCAGCAAAAGAGTGGGGAAATAAGCAAATTTGTATTAATCAAAGCAACATTTTTATATTTGACATATGTGGGATAGGGTGGTTCATATCAGTCCTGTGGGAAAACAAATTTGCCATAGAAAAATCACATGATCCTCCATTGCTTGTTTTCTTCTATTATCTCAACAGGGACAAAGTGACACCAAAGGGGTGGTAAGTTTAGTTAACACAATGGACCACATATTATACATGATATTTTGAAGTAATTGGTTGTTTATTATTTTCTGCATTGGTTTATTACACAAACTTCCCTCACTATAGCCCCTACACAGAGGGGAATCTGAGCAAAAAAATGCTGAACGTCATGCAAGTTGGTATGGTCAAAGTAACATTAAACCAGAAAGCTTAAGATATAGGGTGCTTCAATCACATGTGAATATTAGACATAGAGCAAAGTACTACAGGCCTACAATCCACACTATACTTCCAGAGATGCTAGGAAGCAAGGGGGACCCTAAGAGTGACATACATGTTCCGCTGGAGAAGGGGAAAGGGACAAGAGATCCTGAGCAATTGGGAGGATGGGGCAGGGGAGGGAGGGAGGAAACAGAGAAGGGGGAAAGAGGAGGGGAGAGGAGAACACGAAGGATCAAGAAGAATAGAGGGGGAAGAATAGAGGAAAACAAGAAAAGAGATACCATAATAGAGGGAGCTATTATAGGCTTAAAGAGAAATCTGGCACTAGGAAAATGTCCAGAGTTCCACAAGGATGACTCCAACTAACAATCTAAGCAATGCTGGAGAGGCTACCTTAAATGCCCTCCCCTGATAACGAGATTGATGACTACCTTAAATGTCATCCTAGAACCTTCACCCAGAAGCAGATAGAAGCAGAAGCAGACACCCACAGCTAAACACTGAGCTGAACTCCTGGAATCCAGTTGTAGAAAGGGAGGAAGGATAAGCAAAGTGGTCAAGACCATGTTGGGTAAACTCATAGAAACAGCTGACCTGACCTAGTGAGAGCACAGGGATCCCAGTCGCAATGTGGGGGGAACCAGCATTGAATCAAACAAAGCCCTCAGAATATGGGTGTCAGATAGGAGGCCAGGCAGTGGGACCTCTGACAGTAGAATCAGTATTTATTCCTAGTACACAAATGGACTTGAGCTCATTTCCCATAGAGGGATACTCTCTCTGCCCAGATACATGGAGAAGGGCCTAGGCCCTCCACCAAATGATGTGACAGACTTTGATGATCCCTCATGAAAGGCCTCATCCTCCCTGGAGAGTGGTTGGGGGTGGGACAGCGAGGGTCTAGTGGGGAACATGGGATGATGGGAAGGAGAGACAACTGGGATTGACATGTAAAATAAGATTGTTTCTAAATTAAATATAATAGAAAAATAAATAAGCAAAAGTTACAAGAGAAAAGTGATGCCATTTCCTAGCTATGTAACCCTGGCAAATCAATTTTCCTCTCTAAGTCTTAACTTCACAATCTATTATATAGCACTAGCATTATGGGTCTACTGTCTCCGAATCAGAAACACTACTTAAGTTCTAGGTCTGTATCTATGGCTCTATGCCATCCAAACATTATGCTTCACTGGCAAAAAAAAAAAAAACATTTTAGTTCAAATCAAAAAGTAACTAGATCACAGAGCCAAGATTAATACCCAGTTCAAACACAGTGGTATATGCACACCTGTAATCCCAACACTCCAACTTGTGGGAGAAGGACACGTCCAAGGCTGATCTGGATTACACAGTGAGATCCTATCTCAAAATTTAAAATGTAAAAATAAATGAAATTCAATGTATAAATAATTTCAGCTCTTGATGCTCTTTTGGTTAACTAGCTGGTATGTCACTCAGTGTGTTTGGCCTTTCATGGGCTGATCCTTTCTGCTTCCACCACAAGAACTCAACCCTCCATCAAGCCTTCAATATGCCATTCTTATTCTAACACTATGGATGTCATGTACAAGTTTCTTAAGGTGGGTGACAGAGTCAAATAGGCATCCTCCCTTTTTAGCTTTCATACCATTTAGCATCAGCAGTAAGCAGCTTAGGATCATAGGCCCCATCCACACTACTACAGCTGCATCTGCATAAACATTTTATGTCCCATAGGTGCAAAATATGTCACACATAAATCATGCTCTTTAATGACTCCATGATATTGCATGTACTGTTTTCTCCACCCAAAGTGACTCTTGGTCTGAATACACTGCTACTTGACCTATAAAGCACATTCAACTTCCCTCCAACTCTACAAATGGCATACTCCATGCTTTGTAATTTATGTGTAAATGTCCTGTTTGCAAATACTGTCATGACTGAGAAATCCTTAAGGATGTGATAATGTTTTAATCATCAATATATCTCTAGTCCCTAATAAATAAGGCTCAAAAGAGTTTATGAACACAGTCATCATCCTTTCTACTTTTCTGATGAGGAAGATGAACCTGGGTAATGTGAAATAATTAACTTGAGGTCAAAAGGCAAGTTGACTATGGAACTAGGATTTAAAACCAGTTCTTTCATGTATGGGTGAATTGGGAGGGTGGGGGCAGCACTCAGCAGTAAGTGCCCTGACATGCCAAATCACCAATCCCATAAACTCAGTCATTTAATCTCAAAATCCATCACTCTTTTTCTTCTCCATTATGTCTAACATGGAAGGATAAAATGCTGATAAAACACTGCTTTGGAGGAGACTGGTAAACTGACTTTACAGGTTGTGTTACTAGGCAGCACTGGTAAGTGTCACAGTAAGAAAGAGGGCCAGTTCCTCCATCTGCAAATTGGGTTCATGATATGTGTTCCACAGTGCTGCTAAGAGAGGAAATAAGGTACATGATAGCATATGTCCTTGGAAGACTATTGACATTGAGGAAGAGATAGTTCCTCCTCCTCTTCTTACTCCTCCTCCTCTTACTACTACTACTATTACTATACCTGGCAGCCTGGTGTACATAGTGAGCTCCAAGACAGCAGAGCTACACAAACTCTGTCTCACAAAACAAAAAGTTTGCTTAGGTTCACTGTTGAGCTCCCACGATAGCACTTTTGAAGCATCCACTCAATGAAATGAGGAGGAAAGAAAAACAAAATTGTTCTCATATGCTAGGAGGACACAAAAACGGTATCTACAGATTTTGTCCTTGGCACAGTGCTCTTTTGAAAACAAATGCAAAAATCCTAAAAGATATTATTCTCTCTAAGAAAGCTAATGTCCGGACTCCAGATAATAACTTGTAGAGAACAAAAAAAAAAAAAAAATGGGGGCTTAGAAAGTAGCTCAGCTATAAGTAGCACAAAGTCCAGGGTTCATCCCCAGTGTCACATAAACCAGTCATGATAACACACACGTGTAATTCCAGAACTCAGAATGAGGCACCAGGATAAGAATTTCAGGGTCATACTTTACATCATAAAGAGTTGGAAGCCATCCCATGCTACTCGAAACCTTATCAACAACCCCCATGCCCTAACATGAAATGGAAAACAAAAAGGCTACAGCTAGTATCACTCATAAGCACTTGCCACTCAAATACAACAGGCAAGATCATGCTGACCAGGAACAATTTCTCTGCTATAGCCCAAGAAAAATTTGCTGAAGGCTAGTGACACATTTACCTAAGGGTGTTCCCTTAGCTTAAACCTACATTTGAGATAAAATAGAAGGCTCTGTGCTCAAAGATCAAGGCAAAAAAGTATTTTCCAAAAGTCTGTAATAAACATCAGCCCACTCTAGTTTTCTACGTACAAGCTATACAGGACTAGTCATCTACAGAAACTATTAATAGAAATAGGCATTTTTCTCCAAATTCCTGGTTACCTAAATCAGGCCTTTGAGTGTATACTTAAAACTTCCAACAATATATAAATATTTAAAAGGGGCACACTGATAGCACATATGAGAGCAGATGAAAGCGGTACTTTCAAAAAATAAGCAATGTGAAGATCAGTTTTTACCTGTCAAAACATTCATGTGTGGGATGCAAACAACCCTCTCCATGGTAAAATTACCTCAGCATTTTCAAAAGTAGGAGAGGACTTGAAGATGAAAGGGAGAAACACAAACTACTTATAGAGATTTTAATGTAGTGTACTTGATTCTAATTCCAGGCAAGAGATTATATATATATATATATATATATATATATATATACATACACACTTTTAATAAATGCATTCTGGAAATCATATTTTTAAAACTTACCACTTAAAAGTATCATCCATGTTTTAAATATGTTACTTGTACAAACAATAGGCAACTGTAATAATAAATAGGCTGAAAATATAAAGACACAATCATAAACCCTGGCGGTAGAAGTTGTATATAATGGGAGATACCTGTTAATCCCAGCATTCAAGAGTCTGAGGCAGGACTTACTGCAAATTCAAGCTATGTCTGTGCTACACAATGTGCTCCAGGCCAGCCTGGGTCACAAAACAAGACCCTTTCTCAAAAACCAAACCAAGTAAGAATAACAAAAGTCCTGATCTTAGCCATGGCTCAAGTAAACCAAGGTCAAACAGAACAGGTAAAATCCTGGTTTTACCCAACAGTGATAGACTTGATCATTTGACACTTTGTCAATATATGTTCTTTCCTGAGATACAGTCCACACAGTTGAGCTCACAAAGTAGCAGTATCAAAAACTGACCTGCTTAGCACCTGGCTTCTGTTCCATTGGTGTCATGGTGAGTGTCCTAGTTTCTTTCTCATACTGGCAGTAGTATTTCACCCAGGATATCCCCAGAGCCCCTACAAAGACAGGAAAACGTGAACTAGCGGAAGGTTTCAGCTCCACAAAGCACAAGATGTTTACTGTATCTTTGTTTCTTCTCCAGTGCTTGAGATTGAACCCAAGGCCTCTACCTATTATGCATAGTCCTAGCCTACTGCATACTCTGTGCAGACAAACCCCAGATCAATCTCTGCCCTTCACCTGTGCTCCATCTGTACTTACCCCATCTACCCATTGTACCCATAGAGAACCTCACCAACTGTTTCCCATACCCATTCTTGGCTCATTCCAAACCTACTCTCCCTGCAATATTTCCTGGGAATAGAGACACCTAAGCATCCAGAAGTTGGAAACTCCTGCAAGTGTTCCTCTTTGCTAAAACCTCTCATTTGACTACCATTGAGTTGTGTCCATTCCACTCCTTGCATGTCTCTTCTTCAGCAATCTCCACTTCTCCTACCCCTTTAGCAATGAATTAGTTAAAGGAAGTTATCACTGTTTCTTAATACTTATAACATTACCAACAAAATAGAAATTTACTTTCCCACCCATTAATCATTTCACACAGACTTGTCTAATTCTCCCATTTCTGACTGATTCCTATGAAACCGGTCTTGACCCTTTTGCTGAAGCATTACTTTAAAATACCTTTCCATTGATGTCATTTCCCTTATAAATCACACATGGCTTACCTACTTTCTCCAAACAACCTTCAAAGCCCTGCATAATTTGATCAAACTGACCATTCTGGACTTGTCTTTGGGCACCCTCAGCCCTATGTTCCTGTGTCACTGAATTACTTTCAGTTCCCAATACGTAAAGGGGCATATCACTTGTACTACAAACACAACATGTATTTAAGAATAAATAATTACATCACGACAACAAGGGCTAACCTTGACAAACCAAGACCTAAGCATAAGGTATGCTCTCCAACACTCCTGTGCCTCTACTCATATAGCAGCACACACCAGGAGTTCTTCACCAACCCTTATTCCATTTTCTTACACTCTTACTGAACATTCAGGTTCTAAGTCAAACATCACTCCCTCAGATAAGTTCTTAGATAAGTGGGAGTGCAAACAAAATGTTTCATGAATATATTTTTCTATCTCTCCTATTGCTTTGAGGGAAAAAAAAGAAAGAAGAGTGTTAATTCAACTTAGTGACAGCGCACATAGCACAGGTTCTTAACTAGGAGCAATTTTACTTCACTGTAGACAGATTAGGTTGTAGTATGTGGAGAGTCCTACTAACACAAAGTGAAGTGAAAACTAGGATGGATAGTGCTCACCACTTTACCCTGTACAGACACTGAGGATGGCAGGTGGAATAGGATACAGCTGAATTAGATCTTAAATCCAGTGCCTGTTCTAAGCCTCAGTGATTTCTAGTATAAAAGAAACACAATGAGGAATCAAAGATTAAATGGTATGAGGCTTTTAGAGTACTATACATAGTATATGCAATCCATATGGTTTTTCTGCCTTCTTTGCCCCACCTCCTTTTTAAACCAAAGTTCATTACACACAATTAACATTCCTCATCTTGAATCTCAGAGAAAAGAAATAAATCTTAGTACTCTAGAGACACAGTAACCTAACTCCCCCTCAAGATTTTTTCTTTGCATATTTTCTATCCCCACCCTGCCGTCCCAGGAGTTGTGTTTGGTATGGATCTACAAACAACAAGGATTCCCAGCATCCAGAAAGTTAACATGGCAAGCCAACTTGAAGCCAGGGGATGATGTTGCAAGCCCACACACATTTCTCCTGTGTATAGAGATAGCCTTCAATGGTTGGCTGTCCTGGAAGTTTGCATGTCTGAGGAGCTTCTTTCATCCTTTTCTTAAGTTCTTCCATCTCTTCTCGGGTACTGGAGAAATGATTTCTTGTCTGTCAAGAAATCATTACAATCATTATCACCATTAGCAACAGTACTGTGTATTTATAGGTCATAGATAGAGTACAAGGATTTCTTTGTTCCTGGCAAGTACTAAAACTGATAGAAGACTGCTGAACAGTAGTGACCAGAAAATAATTCTAGAGTTTAATGTTATTATGAACTAGAAAGGAAACAAAAATGTGGACATCACAAGAAGCAATGCATTATGCCCAGTGGGTTAGGACAAGCTTCAAGTAAAGAAATTAAAATTCTGAGATTAGAATGACCTTCCTTTACAACAATTAAAATTCTGAGATTAGACTGACCTTCCTTTACAACAAGGGCAATACAAAACAAAAAGTTCCCAAAGATAATATTATCATGGCAACTTCTTTATGTTAGTGAAGAAGATAAAGACTACACTGGTTGGTCCCAGCTATTAACAATGCTAATAATGAGTCAGCCATGAGTACACATGCAAATGCTTGGTATTAGCTCACATTTGTCAAGTTACACATAGCAGAGGAGTCAACTTGATTGTAGAAAAATTTTTGTAAGTCAGCAGAAAATAGGTACTCTCGGGTTCAGATAAAGGATAGGACCCAGAAGGAAGGAATAGGTGCAGAAAGAAAAAAAGTAGGTAAAACTGTACATGACAACCACCCTAAGCAAGCATCTTATCAGCAGTTTTGAATTTAAAAACACATCTATGAATGTCATGCAATGTAACACCTATGCCAATGACACCTTATCTTAGTGATACCTTCTCTGATTACCAATTGTTATACTCTCTATGCTTCTTTTACAATGTTGCTTGATTCCATATAGCAACAAATACTATAAGGGATTATGAGTTACTGATGGTTATGCTTCTACTCCAAGAAAATAATTATTCAAGTCAGACAATCCCTGATACCTTTTTCTGGTGTGCCAGAGACGTCTACGTTATCTTACATAAGGTATATTGGGGTATATCCATAAATACTCGTCAAATGTGGGCTAAGTGATAAAATCAATAAATTCTCATGTTCTAATACATAAAAAATGCCATGCTTGTGTTCATTTATAATAACTAACATGTACAACAAGATAGAGAAGTCCTTTAACATTCATTTTACTAAGTGATGAAAGAAGGAAAAAGATAAATAGGGGCATCCATAATAATAAAGCCCACAAAATTTTTTAACTTACTTTTGAATTAGCTTAAGGCCTAAGCCTTATATTTAAATAAGCCTACTGCTGGATTCTGATCTGTGAGAGAGACAGTAAAGTACCAATGCCAAAGAGGTGTTCCTGAATATAGGATAGGTTTGAAGAGCAGAAAGCCTCAAAGAGAGGAAGAGTCAAAACTGAAAACGCAAAAACATGTTAACATGTTTGGACTCTACACCACATTGTCCTGACAAATTGCCTGTGGTGTAATAGCCTTTAATTCCACGGTTAAGATCACTGAGGCTCAAATCCTAATGGAAATCCAGTTGAAGACATCCACATGCAACTCACATTCTGTAAACTGAGCTGCAGCTGCTGTTTGTATGGGAGGAAATCCTGTGTGAGCTCCACAGTCAAGCTGTTGGAAATGAAGAGGCTGTGAAGAAAGGCCAAGACCTAAGGGAGACAGACAAAAATCACCTTTAGAAACTGACTGTTATCTATCAGCAGCACTCCTTAACTGATCGAGTAAAGAAACCATGATGTCCGGGAAGAAACTCAGAGTATTTACCATGGTAACACAAGCAGATACACACATAAATATTCTCATATTAGGCTAAATACTTCACCTGCATTCGGTCTCAGAAAGTAAATAGTAAGTCCAGGTCTTTTCTAGATTGCATAAAGCCACTCAGGAATTAGATACTGCAGAAGCTGACTAGATCTCTTCTCTAAACTGCTACAGCATCTCTCAGCCAAAAATATAAAATCTAAAACTGAAAATTTTCAAGGACAGATGTAATGCCAAAACTAAAACAAATTTTACACCTGACTTCATGTGATAAATTTCACACACACTGTAAAAAAAATGTAAATACAGTAAAATATTTCATTAAATCTTTTGCTTATGAGTATAAGGGCTTTAAGAAATATAAACGGACTTTGTGTTTAAACGGGGGGCTATTTTAAGATATTTAATCATATGAATTCAAATATTCCATTTTTTTTTTTCAAAAATTCCAACCATGTCTGGGTCCAATCATATTGGGTAACAGATACTCAACATATATATCCACAGGACTAGTCCACAGTAGTTGCTTGTTGCAGAAGATGGCATACAAATGATGAGCAGAGCACTTTTTAATTTTCAATACACTCAAGCCATGGCCAGTAAGATGGTTCAGGAGGTAAAGGCAAATGCAGCACAAGCTACTGAATTCAATCCTCAGGATCCACATAAAGTTGAAAGGAGAGAACTGACTCCACAAAGCTGTCACTTGACCTCTACATATACACCATAGCACAAACATCCCTCACAATAATAATAAATCTATCGTTTCATTCAATCCCATCAAAAACAAAATGTACATAAAACAAAACCAAAAAATGCATTTTTCTTTATCAAATTATAAATATATAAATGTTCAATATTGGCAAAGTATAACAGGGAGAAGTATACATTGTTCCATTTGATTTAGAAAGCATCCCCAACATAAACAAGCAATAAACATAGAAACAATAAAATGCACACATGCACATACATTTATGACAAGTATGTGGTATAGAGATATGTCCACTGCATTCACATTTATATCCACAATCCTTCCTGTTTTTCTCCCAAACTTCAATTCAAGAAATGAAATCACCACTCAGCAGTCAGTCAAACCAGAAAGGGACTTTCTCTCTTTAACTTACATTTAAGTCCAATTAAACAGATTTTTTTTTGCTAGTGTTTCCTCCAAAATGCCATTTTCAATGCTAGATATAGAACCTAGAACCTTACACATGCTATGCAAGCATGCTATGACTGAGCTATATCCCCAACCCAACAAAATATTTTTCTAACCTAGCTACCCTTTACTGTTTCTACTTCCATTCAAGTGATGTGTATTTTGTCTAGATCACTGTAGTATTTACTTATTTAACTTGAGACAGTCTAGCTGCCTCTAGCTGAGGCAGATCTCAAACTCATGATTCTCTTGCCTTTGTCTCTCTCCTGGGGTGGATATTACAAGCATGTGCCACCTCACCCAGTCTATAATATCTTTTTATTGCTTTCCTAGAACAGTGTCAAGCCATTCTCCACACTACAAAATTGTTCCCTGTCAAGTCATACTTAATAGCCTTCAGTGGCTTTCCATGATGCTTAGGCTGACATCCAAATCATATGCTATGCCAATGGATCCCATGCCTTTCAGTCATACATCACTTTCTATAATACACACATCTTCTTTTCATTTTTTGAGAATGTCTAAACATTCTTTTCTCACTATCATGAAGGCACACTGGATTTTGTCAAAGGCCTTTTCTTCATCTATTGAGATGATCATGTGATTTTTAACTTTAAGCCCATTTATATGATTTATTACAGTATTAACTTTCATATATTGAAACAATCTTGCATCTGTAGGATAAAGTCAACGTGGTCATGGCGGGTGATCTTTGTGATGATATATGCCTGTATTCAGCTTGCAAGTAGTTTATTGAGGTATTTGAAACTATGTTCACCAAGGAAATTGGCCAAGAGCGCCTATTGCTGCTGTTGTGTCTCTACTTGGCATTGGCTCCATGCCTTTCCTCTTTAGTCTCTACCTAAATGGCACTTTCATGCTCCACTGATGTAAATTTTTGCCATGTTCAATCTACTTTGTTTCTTTTATAGATCTTATCACAACTTCTTACATTTTTGAATTATGGGCATAGCACCCCTTCTTTCTACCCAATGAGAGTAACATGTTCATAAAGGAAGAAATTATCAATCTGGTTTACTATATTGTCTGGACTACAACAAAATATTGATGCTTCTACAGTAGAATGCATACTAGTTTTCACACAGTACATATAGAATTATAAAAATGTGGACATCAACACATGTATATTCATTCAATCATACATGCACATGTGTAATATATGTAGCCACATATATTCACATATTCACACTCAAAAGTATACTTCAAACACGCAAAAGAGATATACTGTATACATAAATTATTTGAAATGGAAAAATACTGGATAACCAATACAGATTATTGATATGTAAGGGAAGTTTTGATGGATGCACTTAGTAATAAAAAAATGTTATCAAAAGTCAGCTTATTTTCAAATCAACATGCACTAAATTTTGTAATAAAATAAAGGGAATTTAGTAGAAATAATTATGCTGCTTTTAATAGTAGAACAGGAAGTGATTAAATGTAAGGGCCATGTGTTCTTAGCACAGGCTAACATATATGACACATAGTTTTAAAAGCTTTCTGATAGCATGAGGGAAAGAAAGCCAAAAGCCCATGCCCAGATATATTCACAGTAGAAAAATATAAGACTTTCAAAGATCTAGAAAGAATGAAACTCCTTTTACAAAGCCAGAATTATTTAATAGAAAACCAGGTAAAGACACAGACAGACAAAACACACACACACACACACACACACACACACACACACACACACACAACACAAAACACAAAACAAAAAAAGGCCAATAGCCCTGATGAATATAGATGCAAAAATCTTCAGTAAAAACCTTGCCAACTGTACTAAGTCACATATCAAAATGATTACCCATCATGACCAAGTTAGCTTTAAGCCAGAGATGTAGGGCTAGTTCACCATAGGTAAATTAATAATTATACTAAATCATATAAATAAACCTAAAGACAAAATTCACATGATCATCTTAATAGAAGAAGAAAAAGCCTTTGGCAAAATCCAACATGTCTTCATGACAAAATTCCTAGAGAAACTAGAACTGGAGGAAACAAATCTCAACATAACAAAAGTTAAATATGACTGACCCGCAGATAACATCATCCAAAATGGAGAGGTATTTAAAGAAAATTTTATTAAAATCAGAAATGAGACAGGGCTTTCCACTGTCTCCATGACTCTGCAATACAATGCTCAGAACATTAGCTGGAACAATACAAATAAGAGAAGTAAATTAAAGAAATACAAAAAGTCAAGCAAGTTGAATTAGCTCCATTTGTAGATGATATGATATTATACATGAGAGATTTCAAAAACTACACCAGAAAACTAGAAATGACCAACAATTTCAACAAACTGTCGGATAACTTTTTAAAAAATCAGTAACAATTCCATATATCAATAGCAAGCACATTGAAAAACAGACCATGAACCAATTTCTAGTCACAACAGCCTCAAAAAATGTCTAGAACTTAAACAACTAAGGAAGAAAAAGACCCCTACAAAGAAAACTTTAAATATCTCAAGGAAGAGACTGAGGAAAACACTAGAAAACTTAAGCACTTTCCACACTCATGGGTTGGTAGAATATTATTGTGAAAAGGACCATTCTACCAAAATAACTTAGAGGTTCAGTGCATTCCAAATCAAAATGCCATATTCACCAAAGAAATGGGAAAAGATTCTAGAATTCATATGGAACCAGCCAAAGCAATCCTGTATAAAAAGAAAAATGAGTGATGGGGACAGCTCTTTCATGCTCACAACTTGGATCACCCATACCTCCACCAATAGGATTGGCTTAATTATGCTCCCCGGGTGAGGTGCAGGGCCTGCTCTTCCAAGAGATGCAGCTGGTGGGGGACTGGGCCCACCACCCCAATGCCCATCCACACCTGAGGCAGGTGGGAGAGCTGGCCCTGAGGTCATAAGAGCAGAAGAGCTGGCCCTGCCCTTCCTCGGCTGCAGCACTCAGGAGAGTGGCCCCTATGCCATGCCTGGGCAACACAGTAGAGATGGCCCTGAAGGTGTAGGTGTGAGAGAACCAACTCTGAGAACACGAAAGCAGGAGAACTGGCTCTGCCCCTTGCTTATTACTGTAAGGCATGAACTAGCCAGGGCCGTGCAGGAGAGCTCACCAGGTGCTGAGGAAAAAGGAGAACTGGCAGACTGATCAACCCTGCAACCACTCAGACTCAGAACCAGGGTTATGTGTTGGCCCACCTCAACACCCAGCTAATATGTGGTCTGCTGCAGCACATAAAGGGACCAGTCCTGCAGACCCAATGCTGCAGGATCTCTACAACACAGAGCAACAACAGGATATCCAAGAGAAGTCCCAGTGAAGGCCCAGCATTGTTGGTGTGGCACAAATCAGAGGCCTCAAACCAGACCAATGACTCTGCAATGAACACCTGCAAGTAAGATATATGGACAGAAGGACTTACTGCTTGACTCACTGTAACACTGCAGCTTCCATGATGAGACTGATTTTTTTTCCTTCTCCCTTTTTTCTCTTAAGTTCTACTTTATTTTATTTTGGGGAGGAGGTTACATCGTCAGAAGGCATATATGAAGGGACAGGGAAATGAATGGGGTGGAAAAGCATGATGTGAAAGACACAAAAAGACAAACACGGTATGTACTCACTCATATATGGTTTTTAGACATAGAGTGAAGGATCACCAGCCTATAATCCATACTGCCAGAGAAGCTAGGAAACAAGGAGGACCCTAAGAGGAGACATATATGGTTCCCGGGGAGAAGGGGAAAGGAACAAGATCTCCCAAGCAAATTGGGAGCATGGGGGGAGGGGAGAGGGAGTTAGGGAGAAGAGCAGGGGAGAGGTGGGCATGAAGGAGCAGGAAAATTGAGTCGGGGAAAGAATAGAGGAGAGCAAGAAAAGAGATACCATAACAGAGGGAGCCATTATTGATTTAAGGAGAACTCTGGCACTAGGGAAATGTCCACAGATCTACAAAGATGAACCCAACTAACAATCTAAGCAATAGTGGAGAGGCTATCTTAAATGCCCTTCCCCAATAATGAGATTGATGACTACCTTATATGCCATCCCAGAGCTTTATCTAGTAGCTGATGGAAGCAGAAGCAGACACCTACAGCTAAACACTGACCCTTACTCTTGGAATCCAGCTGCAGACAGGGAGGAGTGATGAGCAAAAGGGTCAAGACCAGGCTGGAGAAACCCACAGAAATTGCTGACCTGAACAAGGGGGAGCTCATGCACGCCAGACTGATAGCTGGAAAAACAGCATAGGACTGACCCAGATTCCCTGAATTTGGTGTTAGTTGAGAGGACTGGGCAGTCTATGGGGCCTCTGATAGTGGATCAGTATTTATCCCTAGCATACGAATGGACTTGGGAGACCATTCCACATAAAGGGATACCCCCCAGCCTAGACACATGGGCCCTGCTCCAAATGATATGACAGACTTTGAAGACTCCCCATGGAAGGTCTCCCCATGAAAGGGGATGGGATGGGGGCTGATAGGGAGAACAGGGCAGGACAGGAGGGTGCAGGAACTGGGATTGATATGTAAAACAAACTTGTTTCAAATTTAAACAAAAATATATTAAAAAATAATAAATAAAACGAAAGTTGAAAAAAAGAAAAGAAAAATGCTGGTGAGATTCACTATCCAGATCTCTAGATTTATTACAGGGCTATAGCAGTAAAAACAGCAAGGTAGTTGCACAAAACCAGACTTGTAGACCAATGGAACCAAACAGAAAACACCAACATAAATAAATGTAACTACAGTCATTTAATGTTTGACAAAGATGCCAACAATCTTTGTAGAAAATATAGAATCTTTAGCACATAGTACTGGGAAAAAATGGATATCTACATGCAGAAGAATAAAGTTAGGCCTATGTCAATCAACCTGCGCAAAACTGACTCCAAATGAATGGACTAGCTTAGTGTAAAGCCTGAAACAATGTAACTGCTAGAAGAAAACATAGACAGTATACTACAAGATTTGGGTGTAGGAAAGGAATTTGAACATGATTCCATTTGCCCAGAAATTAGGCCAGCAATTGACAAGTGGAACTTCATAAAACTAAAAATCGTCTGCACAGCTAAGGAATAAATCTATCAATTGGAGAGGATGTCCAAAGAGAAGCAATATCCATGATATATATTTTAAAAGTTTTTTTTTTTTAAAGAGTCAAGGAAGCAACCATGTTTTAAAGAAAAATGGGCTATAGAACTGAACAGAGAATACTGAAAAGCAGAAATAAAAATGGCAAAAAACCCTTCAAACATGGTCATTATAATTAGCAATTAGAAAAATACAAATTAAAATAACAACTGAGATTTCATCTCACCCCAGTGAAAATGGCCAAGATCCACAAAACAATCGCAACAAATGCCCACTGTTGGGATTGCAAACTGGTACAGTCACTCTGAAAATCTTTGTGGAGAAGTCTCAAAAAGCTAAAAGTAGACTACTACGTGACTTACCTACACTCCTTGCTATATACCCAAAGGTTTCCTTATCCTACTCTACAGTGATCATTACTGATCTATTCACAATAACTAAGAAATGAAAACAATCTAAACATTCTTCAGCTGAGGAATAGATAATGAAAATATTATATATATATATATATATATATACATATATATATATATAATGAAATATTCAGATGTAAAGAAAAATAAAATCATGAAAGTTACTGATAAATGGATGAAAACATAAAACATTATATTGAGTGGGGTAACTTTGTCTGTAACTCCAAATCTTCAGAAGCATGTACATATCCTGGAGTAACTGCTAATAGCAAAAAAGTAGAAGGAAAATATGACAGGGAATGGGTTGGGACTAGACAAGGGAGTTGTAGGACACAGTTGCTCTAAAAGGGAATATGAGTGGCTGATATGTACTTAAGGAGGGAAAAGGGATGGCAACATAAAGGGAGGAAGAAGGAAGAGGGATAAAAAAAAACACTAAAGATGTTTAGAAAAGCAGTAGGGGAATCATATTTTAATAGCTCCTTAATATATATGTGTGTTTGTGTGTGTGTGTGTATGTGTGTGTGTGTGTGTACACACAGAAAAACATATCATTTAATTGAAGTTACTTCAATTGAAGTGACAGGCTCCCTCTAAAGGAACATAAACTATCAAACAAAAAAACCAGTGCCATGAATATGAAACCTAGTTTTAAGTTGTTGGCGAGGGGAGTCCGAAAGACCTTCCCAAAGTAATATAGGTCATTGTCATTGTTTTTGGTACCCTTCAGACAAGATGAGACCCGACCCGATTGCTGAAGACACTTCAGATGAAGGATTTGGAGGAACTGATCTGGATATTACCTGGAAGATTCCTCACTGAGGATTAGTTCTCACAGTTTCAGAGGGAGCCATGCAAGCTGCCAAGGGAGTGATGCAATCAAGCCCTACCCAGCTATACTGCCAATGAATAACAACAATGACCAGCATGACAAGATATCCTGAAAGGAACAGTAGTGACACATCAGGAACCAACAATCATCTAATTGGATTTTAGGTCCACCTAAGAGAAGAAAATTCATACCTGGAACTATTAATTTAACCAGCTACCTGTGGCTGATGAGATCATGGTACCTAGAGAAGTCGTTCCTGCCACTACACCAGCATAAACTGAAACTGTGTTCTAAATACTCATCCTTATACCCAGTTCTCACCCATCATCGAGTAAACTTGTTTTTGCAGTAGATGAAGATACTAGAAACTGCAACTGGTCAAAATTTAGAAATAAAGTGACAGTAGAATCCCTGCCTCCAATCAATACATTTAGAACATAACCCCTACCCATAAGGCTCTGGGGACATCACTGGAAGGAGGCAGGAATGTTGTTAAGAGCCAGACCAGCTAAAGTGAGTTAGATAGGGGTGAGTCTGGAAGGAGTTAAATGGAGGTGTGGGGTGGGACAAATTGTACCAAATTTTCTAAGAGTTAATAAAATATTACTTTTAAAGGAGAAAAAAAATGAAGAAAGACATAGAAATTTGGGGAGGGACTGAATCATAGAAAAAAGAAAAATGATGAAAGAAAATGGTCATAATGGAGAGAAAGTAGTGTAAATGTGGTAAGGAAGAGAGTGAACATTTCTAAAAGAACAAAAAAATGCCTAAAAGCCTATGTGCTGATGCTCTTGACATATATTCTTGAGCATGGACTGACATTTTTATTCTTTGAGATTCCAATTTTATGACCAAAGTTGGCCACATTCACTTGAGGATTTGGGGGAAATGTTCTCTTTTTTAGAATATTCACCAACAATTAGAACTTACTGGCTCCACAATATTGAACTTCTTGGACTCTTGAACTTCCTGGATTTGATAGACATAATCAAGAGAGGACTCGAAGAAACTGTGCCTTTCCTTATCCACTTGGAGGTCTGCCTGTAGAAAGAGGTCAACAAATGTCACAAGTGTGCATTGGTCATTTTTTTGAAAGTCAGGAATTATCAATTCAGATTCTACAGCTAAAGAGGCATCACGACACCTGAAATATCCTATTGTTTTCATTATTTCTATTTTATTTTATTTTACAGTGAGGGAATATGAAACCAAGAGATTAAAGACTGAAAGCTTTCTATTTCTCGTCTAGCATGGAGGAAGCTTGGGAGTTATAAAACTGATTTTCAGATCAAGAGAAAAGCTGAACAAATTGGGAAGCCTTTCTTCTCAAATCCAACCGAAAATTAAAGTCAGGGGTATAAGTGCTGCTGCAAAAACTAGATTATAGGTGAATGGAGAGGATTGGAACTCATGAGAACAGACACCAGGAGCAAAGGGTGCTCAATGCTGGGGAATCGCCACTCTCACAGAAGAACTACTACCCAATTTCAGAATAAATTGCTAAGAAAATACAAGGACACAGCAAGGGCCCGAAGGAACTACAGCAACAGCAAACTAAGCCCAACTTAAGTCCTAGCCAAATAAGCATGAAACAAACCTCACACTAAGCACTTACTTCAGTTTCTTTATCCAAACATCCTCTCTGCCTTTTAAGCAGAAAAGCAAAGAGGGGGGGAAGAAACAATCTGAAGCAATAGAACAAGCATCAGAAACTAATGAAGAGTAGGCAGAAGCTGTAGCATGATAAGACCATGGATTGTAAGCAACTATTGTAAAATGAAAAGGATGCTAATGGAAAGGGAGAACAATATGAAGCAACCGATGTTTGATATTAAAAGACAGATGAAAATGAAGCATGGATCCAAAGGAAATGCCAGAAGTCTCAAACACTGTAAAAGAAATGAAGCATGCTTTATTGGGCTCACCGCCAGTCTGAACAAGGGTGAGGAAAAAGTAAGTCTGGGCCTGAAGATATTGCTCAGAAGTACACTACCCACCTAGCATGTACAGGGACCTGAGTAAGAGTTCTGACAATACAGGAAAGAAAAAAGAATCACTGAGTTTGACTGTACATCAATATAAAAGGTCAATACAAAGAGAATACACAACATAAAATAAAACATCTTACAACTGCTAGACAAATGTGTGGCATATGTGTACTCGGAATACAAGTGATGGTAGAAAGAGACTGGAACAGACAAACATTTTCAAAGATAATAACTGGGCATTTTGCAAAATGAAAGAATAACCACATACACAGCTCCTATGTATACACACAAGTGATTCTAAGTTGGCATAGTACAGAAAAAAATTGCACATCCATGTTTATTAATGCACTATGTGTATGCATATGTTTGTAGGTCAAAGAAATGGAAAGTCTCTAGGAGAGACCAGGTGGACTAAAGGGAGGGGAGAACAAGAAAGGATGGTGGAATATGTGTTATAAAAACCTAAGTGGAGACTATTGGGGGAGGAAGAATACCAGCAAGAGGAGGATGGAGAACTAGGAAGAACAAATAAGAAATAACAATGACATAGATACATAAAAATGCCACATTGGAATACATTTATTTGTATGCTAGCAAAAAATAATAATTTTTATTTTTAAAAATTCACTGTCCACATTGGCATGTCCACTGATATTGTAATTATGCCAATCTTTTTAAAGTAACTATATTATTGAGATTTCATGAGAAGTCAAACTTATGGGACACTATTTTAAAACTCTTGGAAGACACTATCAGAGAAAATCTGGCTATATGTAATGAAACACACATATGACAGTATTGGAGAGTCTAAATAAAGCAATAAGACAAGAGTTTGAGACCACCTTGAGTTATTACAAAACAAGATGAAGGTGCAAATAATCTGTATGACTTTAGATTGGCAATAATTTCAGATACATCAAAAGCATGATTTGTTAGAAATAAAGATATGTACATTTTCATTAAGCCAAAAACCTGTGCTGTACCAAAGATGCTTCTAAGAAAATAAAGAACATAGATACATACTTGGAGCATTGTAAAACATATATCTGATACTAGCTTGGCATCTAACATCATATCCAGAGTTCCTAAAACACAGCAATAAGAAAACAGCTCAATTTTAAAATAGGCAAGTATCAGATCAGATAACTCACCAGCGAAGGCAGGTGGCAGCTCAACATATGAGAAGGTGCTCAATATTATGTCATTGGGAAATTTCAAATGACAACAAAAAAGTGATAGCACTGTATAGTTATTAGTGTGGCTAACAATAAAAAGACTGAAAACACCAAACGCTGATAAGAACATCAAGCAAAAGAAAGTCTCAGAGCTTGTTAGAAAGAAGGATGGTACATGTTGGAAAATAACAGATTCTTACTAAATAAAGTATCTCCTTACAACTGTTGTACTCCTATAGCATTTACCAAAACAACCTCGACAAAATGTGCACACAAATATTTACCATGGCCAGATAAATAACTGTGAAATTTCAGAAGAAAACATATGCTTCCATAGGATATAAGACATATATGGGGTACAACCAGATGACAGCCCTGAAAATAAATGTTAACTATCAAATCATAAAAATATATCAATAACAGACACATATTGCTAAATAAAAATGTCGACGTGAAATGGCTCCATGCTGTGGGATTCCAACAACACGGCATTATAGAAAAGACAAAAATATGAAGATCAGTGACTGTCAGGGATTTGAGATGAGCATGGAGCTAAGAGAATTTCAGAACAGTGAAGCTGTTCTCCATCATACTACACTGTACACATGTTATTATACACTTGTCAAATTCCACAGAATGCCTAGCATGTGCAAGGTTCCAAACTCAACACAGTAAAAACAAACAACCCATATCCCACAGAACATAAAACCCACTGGCTCATCAACTATAATAAATAATCACAAGATCTTAATAATAGTACAAATGCATGAGAGGGATCCAGTACTTCACAACTGCACTTTCCATTCATTTTTTTTTTCTTTAAGGTACAGGAAATCTCTCTCATTTGTTATGACCATATGTGAATTTAAAAATCATCTAATTAAAAGTTAAATTAAATGGAAAAAACTTATCTGGGGATATAGGCCAATACCCTTTCCTCCTTTCCTCCTTGCCCCACTCACCTCCCCAGAAAAAAAGCCTAGACCTATCCTAAACCTTGTGTCTTGCCTTCTTTTACACCATTCTGAGAGATGCAGCAATGTAACAGTAATCTGGAAAAGTGATTTAGCAATGTTTCTTTGTTTCCCTTTGGGGGACAGTGTCTCATGCATCCTAGGCTGGCCCCACTCTCTCTATGTAGCCAAGGATGACCTTGAACTTGTGAGTTACAATTGCAGCCTTTTCCCTCCCTCTCTTCCTCATTCTCTTCAATCCTTTTTTCCTTTTCTTCATATCTGAGACCGACTCTCACTATATAGAACTTATTATGTAACCCAGACTGCCCTCAAAATCACAGCAATCCTCCTGCCTCAGCCTCTTGAGTGTTGAGATTATAACAATTACCTACCACTCCTAGGTTTAAAAATTAAAACCTCCTCATTAAAAAAAAAGTGACTGACTCAATTTCCCTTACTTCATTTTAAATGTCCAGAACAATGGCTGCAGACCTACTCATCAAACATGTCGACAAAGGCTGAGTTCACACCTAAAATCCCAGCACTTGGGAGGCATGGACAGAAAGACTTCTGAGAACCTGGGGACATTATGAGTGATACTCTGTTTTAAAACAACAAAATTCCCCACAAAGTGCAAACAAGGACACCTAAATAGTGTACAAAACTACTAGGATACCCTGATGGCTTCATAGTAAAACCCACCAGTATCCCCATGAGTCCCTGTGATTATTTTAAGATTTGGTATTCACTACGAGGTCTCAAAGGACTAGGGATTCAACATTTACTTCAGTGAAAGTATACAAAGAAAAATCAGCAAAGAGGAAAGGTGCCTAGGAGACACTGTATTTAAGCTACTAAGAGACTCCTTAGTAGTTCAAAAAAGGATACATAAAATACCATGTTTAATAAAATATAACAACAGATTAAAATAGCTTCCAGGAAAGATTCTCTACAGACTGATGATACCCCTAGGTTTTCATTGGACCTGGAAACATAGCACTCCCTGCCTAGCATGTGTTCTAATTCTAGACTATCTGAGAAACAGATATTTGAGAAAAGCCACACTGTCTGCATAAGCAGCTTGTGCACAAAGCCACTACTAAAATAGCCTCTCTAAAATTCCCTCACACTCCTTTTTTTCCAGACAGCATCACTTTGGAAAGTATCCATGTGCTCTCCTTGCCTGTTGCAGATAATAAATATTTCTCCACTCTTTGATGTTTTGGCCATGTTTTTCCTTTCTCTTCCCTCCTTTCTCTTTTTTTTGTTGTTGTCTTAGTCAAGATGTGAACCCACTGTATTTGATTACACTATCTTGACTTTTACTAGTCTTTTAGAGTAATATCCATTCTGGACAAATCCTTTCTTATGTCTTTCATGCCTTTCAAACTTGAGGCCACTAATTAGGTCTAGGGCAGTTTCTCCAGTCATATTTGTCATACATTTTTTTTTCAAATGATTATCTCAAATTGGGAAGGCATCTTTCTTCCACAAAGGAAATTTTTCCATCCAGACATAACTCTTCACCTTCTCATTCCCCAGGTCGCTCAAGATTATCATATAAACATACATTTTACAGTACAGGAAGAACCTTGCTGCTATGAGATTAATGCTCATTCTTAACTTAGAATCCCAGCTATAAGTTGTAGAAAGGCAAGGACGTTGTATTCATGTCCCTATAGTCTTGTTTCACCCAGTATAATGATGATTTGGTAAATATCTATCAAATAGTGGCTTGGGAGAATAGCAGTCACAGCAAGTCTCATAGAAGCAGTCGTCCAATTGCAACATTTCCTGTCCCCAACCAAAGAAGGAATGGAACACCACAAAAGGAAAATGTCTGCTCTTTATATACCAAATACAATACTAGTTTAACTCTATCCAAACATAGAATCTAAAATCACAGACTTAAAAACTTGGAATTAATAGTGACACTAGAGAATCATTCTTTCACACAGTGGAACTGAAGCCAGAAATAAAGTTCCTGAACACAGGAAGTTAGTGAAGGAACTGGCTCCAGACTCAGAGACCTGGGCCCAGGCCTCAGGTATTCCCTGCAAATGCTTACATGGCCCCTGTTGAGCTATTTAAAGGAGAAATGACTGTGATTTCTAAGCCATAGCACAAGTTGGAGTCAGGAACAGATATTGTAAACATACCTCTAGCAACTGAGATTCTTTCTTTTTGGATGACAGATGTAAGTGCCGGTCCAGTAATGAGTAAAACCTCTCACCATCCTTTTCAAATTTCTTCTTCCTCTCCTAGACATGGAACAGAAGCTTTGCATTAAATTTCTACGGTTTAATATTATAGACTTAGTAATGAGAATGAAAGATACACTTTGGGGTTTCATGTGGTCAGTTCCTGCAGCTCCTGGGAAGGAAAGAAAAAAACTAAAGCCAGTGCAAAATGTGCTGGTTTGGACTGATCTCAGTAGTCTGCGTTTCCTCAACTATAACCCCAAATCACTCTACCTACAAAACGGCAGTTCCTACTGGTAGAGCTGAAGCCTCTGAAAGCTCATCTTCCAATAATGACACTCAGAGGGGTCTCTGTTGCTGAAAGTCCTTTCTTCCCCTCACATATGGTTATCATTCATTTGATCTTAGAAAAAAAGGGCCCACAGAGGTGAAGTAAATATATCCAGGAAAGGTTAATCTGTATGAATTGAAATGACTTCAAACAGCTTCCATTCCAAGACAAAGGCAATCCAGGGTTACTTCTTAGAAAGAAGTCTTTGGTGTTATTTAAATATTTACTGCTGCATATTAAAAGCTGACAGAGGGAAATCCTGGAAGATTTAGATAGGAAACAAAACTTCAAACCAAGTTTTATGGGGGATGGAGGACTCAGCCTTCACTCTCCTTGGGGATAAAATATAATTAACTTCTCTGCTGTTCAGCACAAATATGTCACACCACTTCTAAAGAAACACTGACACAGAGTCATTGTCCTGATTTGTTTCTCAGCTTGACAGAAGTTATTTGGAAAGAAGATTTTCTGTTGAGAAAATGTCTCCAACAGATTGTCTGTAGACACGGCTGTGTGGCGTTTAGTTGACTAATGGTGGATGTGTGATACCCTAGCTTACTGTTCAATGGTGCTACCCATGGGTAGGTGGTCCCAGTATATGTAAGAAAGCAGGCTGAACAGGCCATACGGAGCAAGCCAATAAGAGGCACTCCTCCATGGCTTCTACTTCAATCCCTGCCTCCAGATTAATGCCTTGAGTTCCACCCTGTTTCCCTGGGTGATTGACTGTGATCTGTAAGCCAAAGAAACTCTTTCCTCCCTAAGTAGCTTTTAGCCATGGTGTTTTACCACAGCAATAAAAACCTAAGACAGAATGGTACCAGAGAGTGGAGTAGGGCTGAAATAGACACCTGACCAGGTTTTTGGAAGGACTCTAAGGACTTTTGGAACTCTGGCTTAGAAAAGCCACTACATGTTCATGCTTAACGGACTACTGAGGTCATTTAGAAGAAAATGCTGACAGCAGTGAAGACGATGGAGGCCCTCTAAGACTGTTTTCACCACGTTGACTGAATGCTGTGTTACCAAAATTTAAAAAAAAGTATTTCATGCTGGTAAGAATTCCTTTTATTTTATTTTTTTTTCAGAGAAGCTAGGAAACCAGGAGAACCCTAATAGAGTATACATGGTCCCCCGGGAGAAGGGGAAAGGGATAAGATCTCCTGAGAAAATTGGGAGCATGGGGAGGAGTGGAGAGGGAGTTAGGAGAAAGAGAAGGGGAGAGGAGGAGGGGAGAGGTGGGCATGAGGGAGCAGGAAGAGTGAGTCAGAAAAAGAACAGAGCAGAGCAAGAAAAGAGATGCCTTAATAGAGGGAGCCATTGCAGGCTTCAAGAGAAATCTCACACTAGGGAAATGTCTAGAGATATACAAGGATGACTCCAACAAAGAATCTAAGCAATACTGGAGAGGCTACCTTAAATGTCCTTCCCTGATAATGAGATTGATGACTACCTTATATGCCAACCTAGAGCCTTCATCCAGTAACTGATAGACGCAGAAGCAGCTAAACACTGAGCCAAACTCCTGGAATCCAGTTGTAGAGAGGAGTCAAAGGGGTCAAAATCATGCTGGAGAAACCCACAGAAATAATAACTTAAGCAAGTGGAAGTTCATGGATCCCAGTATGACAGCTGGGGAACCAGCATAGGACTGAACTAGGCCCCATGAATGTGGGTGTCAGTTAAGAGGCCTGGATATTCTTTGACACCTCTGGCAGTGGAACCAGTATTTATCCCTAGTGCAAGAATGGGCTTTGGGAACCCATTCCCTATAGAGGGATACTCTCTCAGCCTAGCTACATGTGAGAGGGCCTAGGTCCTATCCCAAATGATGTGACAGACTTTGATGATCCCTATGGGTGGCCTTACCCTCCCTGAGGAGTAGACAGAGGTGGGCTGGGGGTTGGTGGGGGGAATGGAAGGATGGGAGGGAGAGGGAAGTGGGATTGTTTTTAATTAAAATAAAGTCAATTTAAAAAAGAATATTACTATATGTGAAACACTATAGAAAATCATTCCTTTACATTGAAAAATAAAAATTTCAATTAAAAAAAAGAATTCCTTTTATACAGTAGACTGTTGAATTTACAGAACAATTTGAGCTCAATTAACATCTGTAAAATAATAAGGCGAAACATTTGATAGCATGAAATATCACACATTTTAATTACTTATTATTAATATAAAAGATGTCACTATTTATAGTGGTTAAATATGGCAAATAAAGAAAAAATTGATGATTTTCATAAATGACTTAAAATTGACATGCTGTCTAAATTTCGAATAAGGCCTGTGCTGATAACTAATGATAATATTATTTGCATTAAGTGTGTACATCATCTGTAAAGCCAGACAATTTTTATGTTCCCATATTGATACATTACTAAATTTTATTTCTTAGAGCACTAGGTGGGTCCTGCAGAATCTGTTTAAACACCCCTATAGGAATGGGTACACTTACCCTCTTCCTCATGTAAGAGGAATATATTTGAAGTTTCTCCACTAACTAATGTTAACTATAGGTTTTCATCATGCAATCATTACTGAGCTAATAAATTCCTCTTCAGTTCTAGATTTACTAAGATAAATACATGATTTTCTTCTTTACATGAACAATGAAGGGACTCCCATTACTTGGTTTCCAAGGCTGATTTTGAGGGTGAGGGGTCTGAGATAAGCACTAGCTGATTATGTTGTATTTTTAAGATTTATTTTTAATATTTTTTTCATATTGTGTGTAAGGGGTGTGAAATATGTGCACATGTATAGAAGTACCTGGAGAGGCCAGAGGCATTGGATGCTTTGGTGCTGGAGTCACTGGCTCTTTTGAGCAACCTAATGTGCATTATAGGAACTGAACTCAGGTCCTCTGGAAGGGCAGCAAGTACTCAACAACTGAGCCATCTCTCGAAGCCCCTCATGATATATTATTACTGTGAGATTCAGATAGCTAACATTTTACTTAGGAATTTTGTACTTACGCTCCCAAAAGTAATTTGTGTTCATTCTGAAACTTTCCTTAACTTATTATAATAGCATTATAAAATGTGTTGGTAGTAATGTTGTTTTATGAATGAAAATAACCAAACCTCTGAGGTATTAAGTTGCATATCCTAGGACAACCAGACATTAAAGGATAAAACAAACTACTTAAAATATCCTTACTTAAAGCCAGCACTGACACTGGATTCAGTATATATACCTTGAGAAAGATGGTGTCTTAATTAGGAATGCTGTGATGAAACACCATGACCAAAGCATCTTGGGGAGGAGTTTATTTAGCTTACAATTCAACATCATAGTTCATCATCAAAGGAAGTCAGGACAGGAACTCAAAACAGGGCAAGAACCTGGAGGCAGAAACTGATGCAGAGGCCATGGAGAAGTACTGTTTATGAATTTGTTCATCACAGTTTGCTCAGGCTGCTTTCTTATAGAACCCATGCACATCAGCCCAGGGATAGCACCACCCACAATGGACTGGGTCTTCCCCCATCAATCAATAAGACAATGCCCTAAAGGCTTGCCTACAGCCTGATCTCAAAGAGGCATTTCCTCAATTAAGGTTCCCTCCTCTTGGATGACCTTAGCTTTTGTCAAGTTGACACACAATGATAGTATAGGACAACCTTCTATCTTTATACAAAGTCTACACTCCACTTCTCATTTTCTTCCTTCTATTTCACTGGCCAACTACAATTCATCCTTCGGGATCCCATTCCTTTATGTCACTGGAATCTGTTACACATCTTTCTCAATGCCCCCATATCCTAGTCTGGGTTTAGAAGTCCCTCCTCTGATCACTCAGGATTGTATACATAAAATAAAAACATAAACCTGGTATGGTGGTGCATATCTCTAATTCCAGCATTCAGAAGGATGTGAGAAAGAATGAGAATTTAAGAAAAGAAAACAAAGGATACTTAGAAGGAAAAGAAGATAAGAGTGAAAATAATTACAGGCTTGTAGAATTTTGTGCATTACATTAATATTTCATTCACTCTAACACAACCTAGAAACAAGAAGCACAGTTGCTTTATCATATGTATATGAGAACACTATAATACCATTTATATGAACTAAAACTGCTGCACAAAACATAAGGAGAAGAAATTATCAAAGTATAGAAGCTATAAGCAAACAAACTACAATTTCCCTTTTGTATTTAAGTCTTGCTTTGCAAGCATAAATTTAGCATTCTCGTTATACAAGTCTTTTTTATCTGTGTTAGACAAAATATAGAAAAAAAAAGAAAGAAAAGCTTGTGTCAGGCACAAGCATGGCGCTGAGGGAATCTAGAGAAGGCAAAGCCATTGAAACTAGCTCATACTCCAGTAAGGACTAGAAATATACCTTAAAATCCCATTTACCATCTCACGTTACAAAAATGAATGTTGACATTAAACTAACATTATTCTTTATAAACAGAATAAATGAAAGACAAATTACCTATGGAAAGTATTGATTCTTCTGTATTGGTTTGGTTTTGAGACAGAGACTTGCTATATAGCTCTGACTGACCATAAAAATCTTCCTTTCTCAGGCTAATAATCAAATTTATATGGAAAAACAAAAGGCCCGGGATAGCCAAAAAACCCTGTACAATAAAACAACTTCAAGAGGCATCACCATCCCTGACATTAAGCTCTACTACAGAGCTAAAGTTCTGAAAACAGCCTGGTATTGGCACAAAAATAAACAGGTAGACCAATGGAATCAAATCGAAAAT